GGGGCCGTCAGGCTGTAAACGCCAGATCATGCTCAGGAAAATGCGACACGCTTAAGAACGGTCATTTATCTCGAAAAAGATGCGGTGCCCTGTGGTGATATGGCCCACATGACTCGGGACCCGTAAGCCGTATACGGCCTACGGTACCCTCCCGAGTCATCAGGGTCCTTATAAGGCCCCTGTGGTCACCGGCAGCTCCCAAGGCCCCTACGGACGCGATACATGCTTCGAAAATCGCTAGACAAAGGACTCAGGGGCGCAGCCAAGGGGGAGGGGCACACTAGGGCTTTAGCCCCTCCCAAATCTAGCAGGCGCCCTCTGGAAAGACGCCATCCAGGCGCCGAAGGCGCCCTGGATGCAGCGCCTTCCACGATCATTCTGTGCGCCGATGGCGCCTTTTCAGTGTCCAGCACTCTAGTCGCCCTCGACGGTAAGCCATTGCGACGTCATCATGCGGTACTGGCGCCCAGATTTACCGATAGGCGTTATCACAAGTGTATTCGCGGCCATTGGGGCGACGTAAGAAAAGAAGAAACCAACTGGCCCCAAGAACTTTAGATAATCAGTTAGCATGCACCTTTTCCTTGATGTGTAGAGAATTTGCCATTATTTGTTACAGAAAATTGCATTTAAAATCTTCCATTTATGCTTTTTTCATCGTTTGCACAATATGTTCTTTTACTAAGCTAGAAACACTAATTATAAATAGTTCCCGCATCATCAAGAACAATAGGGAAGGCTTGAAGTGAATAAAATAATTTAAACGGTTTTGTAATCTATGTGAGGGCACTTCTAAAATTGCCTGTAGAAATATTGAAGGCAAAAGTTCAACTTTTTCTCAAGACGGATGTATATAAACCTATTTAACTTGTGACAACTCAGCCGGTATTTCGTCGCCTACAGCCCAGCTTTCCTTAGTGACCGATAGAGGCGCTGCTATCGATGTCCGCCCGTGCCGCCTAACGCAATTTTATATCTCTTTGTGGGTGAAAATGCACCCACAATCCTGAAATGCCGGATATCCACTCCCTATCACCTGACCATCTAGCGCCCTCGGCTCACCTTCAGCGCCCTTCTGTCTGCTCGGCGCGCTTCTGATCTGTCGGCACCCTTCTCGCCCTTCAGCGCTCTCCTGGCCTGTCGGCACCCTCTTCACATTCGGCGCCCTCCGGGCAGACCAGTTAGCGCCCTCATGGACATTATCACACAGCATCCTCCTGATCTGTCTCGCCCTCCACACTTGTCAGCGCCCTCCTGACCTGGCAGCGCCTATCGTATTATAGCGCCCTCTTCACCGTACAGTGCCCTCCTGACCTGTCGCAGTCCTCACTGTATAGCGGCCTCCTAACCATACAAAGCCCTCCAGACCGGCTCCTGCTACGTTCAGCGCCCTCCTGACAAGTCGGTGTCCTTTTCACCGTAGACGGCCCTTCTGACCTGTCGGCGCCCTCCTGACCGTACATTGCCTTCCTCACCTTGTCCGCGCCCTCCTCTTTATACAGTGTCCTCCTGACCTGTCAGCGCCCTCTTCACTCGTATAGTGCCCTTCTCATCGTACAGCATCCTCCTCACCATGGGCGCCCTCCTGACCTGTCGGCGCTCTCCCCACCATACAGCGCCCTGCTGCCTTGTCGGCGCCCTCTTCACGGACAGCGTTCTCCAGATCTGTCGCAGCTCTTATCACCGTGCAGTGCCATCCTGACCTGTCAGCGCCCTCGCCTCACGCCTGTCGGCGACATCTTCGCGTTCAGCGCCCTCCTGACCAGCCTGCGCCTTTTGCAACGCATAGCGCCCTCATCACCATGCATCGCCCTGCCGACCAGTCAGCGTCGCCGTTCATCGTACATCGCCCTCCTGACCTGTCGGCGCCCTCCTCACAACACACCGCCCTTCTGAGCGGTAAGCGTTCTCCTCACCATGCAGACAATGCAACACTTTACAATTAGGAAAGCGTTAAGTAGCCTTTGCTTAACCCTCGCCGGCACAGGCCATTTTGCGTCATTCGACGGCAGGGGGGCTGGTACGACCCCACCCCCCTCGCGCCTCTAAAAGCTTCGTAACATGTTACGAAGGCACCAAAACTACTTCGTAAATGTTCAAATGGTTACTAAATTCGAAATCAGCTCCAAAAACTAGCCTAGAAACATGTAAAACTTGAAAAAGTGAACCGAGGTCACCAAAGGTCAATGACCTGACCTGACCTTGGTGACCTTGACATCCACCCTAATGCATAAGAGCAACATCAAATCACATGTTTGAACATTTGAAACCACGAAAAGCTTGCAAACGCGCGGCTAATGCGAGCCGACATACGCCGAATCGCGATTCCGGCCAAACATGGTCTCGGAAAGTAGGTCACAGGTCAAAGGTCATTTGGGTCAGGGTCATGAAATTTTCAGGGTAGGTGTACAATTGATCAATGCGAAGGTACTGAAAGTTTCGTCACGATCAGCCGCTTTTTACGCGAGTTATTCGCGAAAAACCTTAGGGGGATTGCATCAACTCAACTCCCTGTGCCGGCGAGGGTTAAAGTGATTTTAGACGCAAAGTAGTAATGAAGCAATTTCCGGAAAGTAAAAGGATCACAACGTTTCCAGCGTTTCCGGAACGTTTCCGGAAAGGAACTTGTTTACAACCGTGACCCTCAAAATCGTATTCAGGGCCAAACTTGCGGGGAAGGCCAGCTGACAAGTGTACGCCCCGGTGACGTCACGGGTAATGTTAAACAGTCGGGCGCCCGGCACATAGGAAAGCTCGGGATGACAGCCCCCTGGAGGGGAGCGGGTTTCCACATACCCCTCATGATTTCTTGTGAATACCCCGCGACGGCAGGTCTTCCTGAGTCCATTGGCGGCTTTCCCGACTCGCTAGCTCAATTTGATCGGGAGTTATTGACAAAAACTAATATGACTTTGATGACGTCATAAATGACGTCACGCAAGGTCAACATTGCAAACGTGACGCATCTAATCTTGCAAGGCGTGCATCAAATCACGATTCTGGTTGCTTGAATAGTTGGAGATCGTTCCCGGCTTAGTTGGATATTTTTTCCATTGACTTATAATATGGTGAGGTCACGAAAATGACCTGACCTCATATGACCTTTAGGAAAAATCCGAGATATACAAGTTGTGAGACTCGTAATAGATACTAGATCCTTCAAGTTTTATTTCCCTGTGAAAGCTCCTCTGGCAGTGAGGGCATTGCGAAGTTGCGACATCTGAAGACCGTGCAGAGGTTCCCTTATGACGTCATAGGTCAGTGACCTGACCTGGCCTGAAAACGCGGTTGGTGTCAAAAGATTCAGCTTGAATCAAAGGTCAGGTAGGTTAGCCCTCGCCCGCGTATGGAGGGGGTGGTTGCCAACCCCCCCCCCCCCCCCAGGTAGTCTTTCTGCTCTGCACTCGACATTTTTAGAGGTAGAAGGCTGATTTTTCGTATACCTGCTCCTCTGTCCTTTCTTGATGTCCACTGAAAGTTTCAAATTTCTGTGTTGTTTGGTTTCGGAGATATGACCTTGTATTTTAGGTCATGTCATGACCCAAATGGCCAATTCTCAACATCTTGCGTTTGCTATGGGCCTTGTGAGCTTTTGACACCTTGATTTCGGCCTTTTTTGCCAGTCTTACCTCCCACCTATCATGGAACATGTTGTTCGACGATGTACAGGTGTCAAGGTCAGGGTCAAGGTCAACCTAGGTCATCTAAGATAATTGCGTTTTAGGCAAGCTGAATTTACTTTTTGTGAAGTTTTTTGACTGCATTTTTGGTAACAGCTTCTCTGATCATGATTTCATGTAATATGGACACATAAATAATCGGTGCACACATCAGTATACACACAGACACACACAGACATACAAACACATATGATTGACCTTGACCTAGCTTGACCTGAAATGACCTCAGCAGCAAAAATCTGGTCTGGTAGTGTGACAAAGAGGTTCTAGCTGGCTTGGCACCAGAAAACGGCATCGTCATTGGTATATGATAAGCAGCGCACTTGATATCCAACGGTGACCCAAAACAGCAACATTTTTTAGTTTGACCTGACCTGGAAGGTCAATGACTGACCTGAGAAGGTAAAACTGGGTATCATTTGTCCCTTCCCAAAGAATCTTTTTGGTCTTTACCGCTAAGCTCTATCTCCAACAGGAACGAAATGGCGCGGGGGTGGCAACCACCCCCCCCCCCCCATGTGCGTTCTAGGATGGGAAAATGGCATGTGCGGGCGAGGGTTAAGTTTCGGCTCTCTATCGTCAGCGTGGTTGGAGCTATGGCGAAAAAAAACCTAATGGGGGCGGCACCCCCCTCGGCCCGCGAGGGGTAAATATCGAGGTCAAAGATATCGCATCTTGTGCATCTTGATAAGCTCTTTGGAATGCCTTTTGAATTTTTCCGATCCGACTATTGCTACCGGATATACGACAGGGGGCCCTTGCCTCTTTGGACCCTCCCCCCCCCAAGCGAAACCAGGAACCCACCAGACTTCAACGAGGCGCTGGTTAAAACCACAATTAACTGGTGTATATTCTATAGCGCGAGGGACTGAGGAAGGTGGCTCAACAGAGCTCTCCTCTCTCCGAAAGAACTGTCTCGATTTTTTAAAATTCAAAAAGCATTCGAATTCGATTGCATTGTTAGAATGTAGAGCGAACCCTTTTTTACCTCAATGTCACCGATGACGTCACAGGTCAGTTTAAAGTAAACATTTTCATAATTTATGGGTGTTTACTCTTTGTGCTCTGGCCGCTGAGAAGTTAAGTCACATGAAGCTCATATTTAGTTTGGACACTCATGAATGTATGCTATGTAAAAACACCATATGGGTGCCGAACAAGTATTTGATATGATTCAGAAAGGGCTCTATCTATAGACCCCCGTCTCTGTCCCCCACCACCCCTGCGTGGCGGTGGGCCGTAACACCATGCTTCATGCGCTCGTTCTTCATGTATAACACCTGAACAATTAAGATGCCTAGAATCATGTGTTCCAGATGGAAATCGCAGCTGTTCGTGAAGAAATGAACTTTTTGCGCGAAGAAATGAAGGCTCTGCGCGAAGAAATGACCAATCAACGTGAAGAGACGAAGGGATGTAAGAGCGAGGTGACTAATTTGAAGACGGAGATGAAAAGACAAAAGGAGGAGAACACCGCACTGCATAGTGAGGTGGTTCGCCTGCAGCAGGCAATGGTCGAGGAGCGCTCCACTCGCCAGGTGGTCGTGGAGGAGCTGCGGCAGGAGATCCGCCGGCTTACAGCGCCATTCGGCCGTCTGCAGGGGTGAGACTGGGAGGCAGCAGGGGTAAGACTGGGAGTAGCAGGGGGGGGGGGGGAACTGGCTGCGTGCACTGGTACGCGAATAGTCGTGGAGTGTTACTACTTTCCAGAATGAATTGCGAAGTGTAATGCCCTAAATTGACTCCTGGAAGGGTGGATAAAAATGGGTGCGGATAGGGGTACCCTCACAGGGAACAACGATAAGCTGTCAGAGGCAGGCCCATGTCACTCTACTTTTGATGACATCATATGGGGGCTTCAGGACAATAATGGCGCGGCGCGCCACAATCGCTTCAAAGCTACTTGCCAACAGTTGCCATTTTTGAAAATATTATTTTGAATAAAGTTCCAAGTAATAAAAATATTGTAATAAAGTTGTTGCATAAATCGATACCATATCTGAAAACTTACTGAAAAATGATTTATTCATAGTAAAAATATAAGCTCGATGCATTTTACGTTGCTTTCCTGCAACTGCAGAGAGTTTTTAAATCGTCTATATCTTCAAAACCGGCCATTTCTTAGTATATTGCTGCTCTTTTTTATCGCTAGAAAATTAGCTGGACTTTTCAATGACATCAATGGTTGAGCGATATATGTAGAGTGTCACCAACAATCTTCAAATGAAGCTAGTCATTTTTACGTTGTAAAGGAATGGAGTACCCCTTTCGAGCATCAGGGGTGACGTCACTCAGGATCTGTCTCTGATTGGTCGGCGGGGGAGTGACTGTACCTTCTATAGATGGCCTTGGTCAGAGGGCTGCAGGGCACGCACAGAAAACCTCAGCTGCCCTTGTACAGGGACCGGCAGTCGATATCAATGTTATCGGTTGTTTCTGGACAGGACAGACGGCTAGAGTTGGGGTTCGTGTACAGTAGCAACTGTGGGTCCCCGTACTTACTACACTCGGGGGCCGGGGGCAGGTTGATGTTCCACTCTTTATTCACCAGTTTCATATGGCTCAGCATTGGCAGCAGCTGCCTGGTACCGGTAGACTGTGCCGCTTCACTTACTTGTCAAGCGGCACGGCCTTCCCACACCTTATAACACCGGTCTGGGTCGGTGGCTGGAGGGCTGTGTGGGGAAGCCTCGAAGTGTTGGTCACTACTTCTGTGCTTTGTCCCGGTTACGCTGTTCGGCGTTCGGCGTTCGCGCGTTCGCGCTGTGCATTTTCGTATCCGTAAGTGTGTGCGTTTTCTTGTGTAGGTATTTCTTGTGTTATCTTCAACCAGCTCGGACTCGGAGTGTAATCGCCACGCCGATTGTGGATTGCTCTTGATCGTCAATACATACATACATACATACATACATACGCACGGGACGGGCTGCTGTGTAACACTATCCGTACTTGGCCGCCAGGCTGGTGCCACGAGAGCAGGAGGAGGGCGTCGAGACGCAGGTGCCACTGGATAGGGCTCAGGTGCGCGAACTGGAGGACCGACTGAACCAGGCGCTGGTCGACCAGAAGAGGGCGGAGGATGACCTGAAGGTAACTTACCTCTGCTGTCCACTTCGGGTTAGCATCGTTGAGGTGCAGTTTAAACGAAATTTTACCATAACAATTGCCAACCAGCTATTCTTTCGATGTTGGGGAAAATTGAGAAAATTTCATGAATTTCGGCAATTTGGAAGAGGTAAATCCCACAATTGTCCCACGTTTCTTTGATTCGCCAGTGCATGTCCTACGTGTGTCAGACATGAAGTCTGCGTCCCATAGACCTTCGTTCGCGGCACATTTGCCCTCACGTTCCGCCCCATCTTCACTCTACAAATCTATTTAAGGAATCGCGCGCCATTAATACGGCCACGGAGACCAGGCTGCGCGAGACTGAAGCGCGCAATGACGACCTCATCAGCAAAACCAGCGACCTGGAGCAGACCAACGCCTCACTGAAGAAGCGCTTGCACGAAATGGAGCGCACAGTAAGTCTTCGACCGCTTAGCCACTTCATCCCCTGCAAGCAGGGCCTCCAGGTTGTATACCGTATAGGAATAGTGCAATACATAGCCTGACTGTTATTACGAGCGAGCGAAGCAATCGAAGTCTTACGTAGAATAGCAGAAATTTCCGGGTATGATTGGCCAGCCGGACGTGGGTGCGCTTTTGCGAAGCTTATACATATATCCGCAACACCACTGAACCGATTTATGTACTTGCGGTAATTTTTTAGGGTAGCTCCTTGCCTGCTCCCGACCATAAGACTATGGCCGATGCATGTGGGTGACCATCATGCACGTACCACCGCCACGTGCAAAAACGAAGAGATGCCAGATTTGGTAATAATTGCAATCTCGGTAACTACTTGGCCGATTGCGGCAAAATTTGCAGTTGGGTAGGCAGTAGGCACCCAATAGGCACCCACCAGACAATGCATTTCCATTTGTATGGTTGGGTTTGTAAGCTACCTGTGCACGTGCGCACGTGCTCTGCAGAGGTAGCTTCCAGATCTAGAAAACGGTTGAACCGATTTCGCTCAACTTTGATACAAGGCTAGGGGCAGATAGAACGGTGCCGTGCAAAAGTCAGTTGGGATCCAGTTTGCACGTGCAAACGTGCAGGCTGCCGCTTCCAGATCTCGAGAACGGCTGGGCCGATTTCGGCAAAATTTGGTACACTGCCTTAGCCCGCGAGTTGCTGGGGGGGGGGACGTTAAACACCCCAATTTTTTCGCCGATCTTTAGCATAAAAACGGCGCCAAACTGTAGGGAATGTAGGGAACGGGGCTTACCTGTAGGGAATTGATTGAAGCTTATCCCTCGCCGGCACGCGCCATTTTGCGTCTTTCGACGGCACAAGGGCGTTGGTGCGATCCCCCTCGCGTTTGGCCCCTGATCGAACTAGGGCTTCGCAGAAAAACGAGCGTGTTGCCCGTGACGAGAGAAAGACGATGATACCTAATTTTAGGGTTCTAGTTCATCAGTTGACCTTCCAGTCAGGTCAATGACTCAATCGTCGGGAAAATCGGGACCTGTTAGAACGTTGTAAAGCGTAGCTGCTAATGTAAGTCATTATCATAGATGATGTCTTCATGCATTTAGGCCAGGTCAGGTCAGTTCAGGTCAGGTCAACCAGCCAGGTATTCGTGGTAGGTGGCAACCGCCTCTGACAGCTTCGTAACATGTTACGAAAGCACCAAAACTACTTAATGAGTGTTTAAATGCTTGCTTAATTCGAATTCAGCTAAAAAACTAGCATAGAAACATGTAAACTCGACAAAGTGAACCGATGTCATCAAAGGTCAATGGCCTGACCTGACCTTCTGGTGACCATGATCCGCACCCTAATGCATGGGAGCAACAGCATATCCCATGTTTGAAAGCTTAACCCGCGCATGACTGGGGTATTTTCCATAACGCGAGTGACTGGGGGGCGGGGGACTCTCCAGGGCTTCCCCCTCTTATCTCCGAAACTACCAAGCCGATCGTCAAAATTCAAACGGCGTCTGATAGCGCTGGAAAAACTGTCGCGTAAAACCTATTTTCATTGACCTCGAGGTCACCGATGGCGTCACAGGTCAGGTCAAAGTAAAAATTATCGGCATTTTTGTTTGTTCACAATTTAGGCTCTTGTCGCCGGCTGACAAATCCGATCAGGCTCATTTTTGGTTACGCATATATGCCTTAGATACCCTGATGGTACCGAACTTTTACTTTGAATTTTTGCAGGTCAAGGCCAGATCATCCTAGGTCACGAAAATTGTATATCATGTATCGGTCACGTGACGCATGTTTTATGGTCAATTTTACGCGTAGATTTCGAAAATAATGTCGTATGTGTCATTTAAGGTCATTTTAAGCTGAATTTACAGGAGGTCAGGTCAATTTCAGGTCAGAAAAGTTAAATTTTGGAAATGATTTTTTTCAAAAAAAGGGCATATAAGATGCAGTTTGAGCTCAGGAACACAATGGTACCATTTATGTAGGTATATTTCTTTACGATGTAAAAAACGTACTGAAAAATGGTTTTGAAAAGTATATAATTGTAAAATTTTGACAAAAAAGCAAATAACTTGGCTATTTTTGAAGATATTCGGCTAAAACTTGCTAGAGTAGTTCATCAGTGTGTTTTCTATCACATATTTTCCGTTTTTTGCAAAAAAAAATCAAAAAGTACCTATATTTTTTGTAATTTTAAAAACATTTTTCAAAATTTTAACTTGAAAATTTGAGATAGCAATTTGATAGCTACGTGTATTTGTAGTGCACTGATGTTAAGAAATTGGATCTAGCTTTAAAACTACGCTCTTGAGCCGGATCCTTTGACACCAACTGCATTTTTGGGTCAGGTCAGGTCACTGACCTATGACGTCATAAGTGAACCTCTGCACGGTCTTCAGATGTCGCAACTTCGCAACGCCCTCACTGCCAGAGGAGAATTGTAGGTAGGTCAAATAGTTGGTTTTCTATTCCACTTCTTTTCCCACTCTCTGAGGCGTCTGTCCTCCTCCCTCCCCCTCCTTTCTCTTCTCCTTTGTCGTTGTTTGGGGGCATCCGAGGCCACCGGCAGCGCCGGCCCTCTTCGCCCAATTTTTTTTATCCGGGTCGGTGTTTAGTTTTGAAATTTGCGGCTCCGCCCGCTAGTGATTCTTTATCTTTACTTACCACCACATATCTGCACCAAATTTCGTTTTCCTTTTCACGTTCTCGCCATGGCTGAGACCACCGACCCTGCACCAGGTCACCCTTCCGAGGAGCCCGCCGAGCTCCCCCCCTCCCAGGCCATCCCTGAGGGACCGGCTTTCCTGCTGGTAGCAAGGAAGGAGGGAAGTTTCAGACACACGAACCCCTTCTCCCTCCGCCGGTCTATCGACGCGTACATCGGACCGGTGAACTCACTAAAGGCACTCAGGAGCGGCGCCCTCTTGATCGAAACAAAGTCGGAAACCCAAACCCTCAAAATGATGCGAACGGCCTCCTTCAGAGGCACCCCAGTCACCATCAGCCTCGCCACCCGCCTGAACTCTGTCGAGGGGTCGGTCCGGTCCGACGCCCTCACCGAGATAACGAACATGGAGCTCCTTGAGGAACTACAGACACAAGGCGTCGTACGGGTCCAGCGCCTCCGATCCCGCGACGTCAAAAACCTCGGGCCGAACCCCACCGTCCGGCTCACGTTCAGCGGCCGCACCCTCCCGCAGGCCATCCGATGCGGGTACCTCTCCGTGCCCGTGGACCCCTGGGTCCCGGCCCCGCGCCCCTGCACTAAGTGCTGGAACTACGGGCACTCGAAGCGCGCCTGCCGTCGGCGCCAGCCCATGTGTGGCCGCTGCGGCGGGCCGCACGACGCGGAAACAGTGGCGGCGGAAGGTAATTTTGGATGGGGGTGCAAAGTTTTCACAAGGGGCCCCTCTGGAAGTTTTGGGCCCCCTTCATTTTTTTTTTTTTTGAGTGATTATTATTGATTTTATGAAAAACGAGGATTTTGGAAAACCATCCCTATACACACAAGTTCTGTAAAAGGTTCGAAATTGCAGTGTGGGTACCTCCCTAACTCAAATAATGAAAGCATAAAGAAGTAAATGCAGCTAGTTTTTTATCGGCTAATCTTTTAGTCTAGCCACCACCTGCAGCGTCTCAAACCACTTTTCTGGATCGGCAGTGGACCATTGAGGGCCCTACGAGACCGTTCCAAAAAGACCGTGTTTAGAAGCCCCTTGGAAACCGTCCACATAGAGACTCCTCCAGGGACCTACATGACTCCTCAGACTGAATGAGTCCTCCGATCAGGGTCGGTCCCTTTAAAGTTGCTGAAAGGTTTCAGAAGGCAGTATAGGCTCGAAAGTCTTTTGAGGGCTCTCAGAAACCGGCATCGCCATCGGACGCCAAAAAGCCTGTATGGAGGCCCTCCAAAGCCGGGATGGAGGCCACAGGAGCCGATGTTTAGCCTAAAGAGCCGGTATCGAGGACTGAATAGAGGAAAGAGGTCTCAGTGGGGCCTTCAGGGGCAAGCGTTTGAGCCCTAAAAGTATGCGTGGGGTCTTAGAGGCAGGTAGACCCCTGGGGTATGCACGGGGTCCCAGGAGCTCGCATGTGAGCCCAAATATTCGGCTGGCGGCTACTAGAACCAGCATGGGGATTCTTAGAAGCCGCTTAGACCCACATTTCATTGGTCATGAGTCCCAAGAGTCAATAGGGACCATAAAAGCCGGTGTAGGGCCCATGGCCCCATAAGTTCCGACATTGAGACTCTCAGAGGCCGGCGACGGGGCACCAAGAGCAGATAAAGTGCCTCAACAAGCCGACATGGGGCCTGAGAATCAGTGTGGAATTCCAGGGGCCTGCGTGAGCTCTCGGAGACCTTCGTATTTCGTAAGGTCCACAAAGGAACATTGGATCCTCTGAATCTGAACTCTGCGGGGCCCTCAGAGGCCAGCATGTCTCCTGGCACCTGCCTGCGTTGAGTTGAGACCCTCCGAGGCCGTCGTAGGGTTCATCAGAGGCAAGCGTTGGCTCTTGAAGCCTTCGTTAGGCCCTAGAAGCCGTCAAGAGGGCCCTCAGAGGTCAGCATGGCCTCTGGAGCCTGCCTGCGTCGAGGCCCTCAGAGGCCGTCGTGGGGCCCTCAGACGCCAGCGTGGGCCTTTGGAGCTTGCGTTGGGTCTTAGAGACCATCATGAGGGCCCAGAGAGGTCGTTTTCAGGGCCCTCAGTCCCTCAGGGACCGTCCTGGGGTCCTCAGAAGTTGTTGTGAGGGCCCTTAGAAGCCTTCGAGATTATCATCAGAGGTCGTCACGGGGATCCTTGGCCATAGTAAGGGTCTTCATGGGCCCTCAGATACCTTTGCAGGGCTCTCAGAGGCCTTGGTAAGACCGCTAGAGGCCATCGTTAGGGCCCTCAATAGACCGTTCCAGGGCCCTCAGATGCCAGCATAGCCCCTGCAGCCTAGTTGTGTTGGGGCCTTCAGAGGCTGTCGCTGGGCCGTCTGAA